GATTATTTACAAGATAAAAATACCTCACTGAAATAAGAAAAATTTAAAGTTCACATATAACTATAAGTTGTCAAATTTTAATTGCTAGCAGGTTTATTGAGATATTAGAATTATTCATTTATATCTGAATTGAATAGCAGTCACGTTCGTCTTTACTTTGTATTTTCTATTTCATATTTTTATTCGTGTAAACAATTGTTCATATTCTTTTTTTTCTTTATAGAATGATTTCCATTCGTTCTACTTATTTAACCCTGACATTTTGTATTGGTGATCCCATGTCATGAGATGCTTAATTCGAATTCGAATATAAATGAAGGTTCAACTACACAAATTCGATTCGAAAATAAAAATTCCGGCATTCATATAGTTAAGGGAAAAAAGCAAAAGTTTAAAATTTATCCTAAACATAAATTTTTTTAATTCGAACTGAGGCACCACTGATTGGCGTTTTAGAAACTGCAAATGTTAAAATATGCTTGGTCTACTGCTAAGCCAGGTAAAAACTTATCGCTTAGTAAAAGTTTGAATATTCAACAACAAGATTCTTGAGAGTTGTCTAACAGAATATGAAAACTATCTAGTAACGGCTAACTGCTAGATGTTGTTAACATCCACACTTCGACTTCTGTCACGTTACACACACCTAGTGCTAGGCTTCAGCCACATCACGCAGACCTTTATTCAAGTATCGCGACGTTGGGGCGCGCAGGGTCCCTCACAGAGCCGCGACCGAAAAATGTCTCTGTGCACACAATTTTCCATACATGTCGAACTTGAACTTGAATTCAACTGAAACTTCAAGTTTTGAGTTTCAAGTTTCAATTTCTCGAAATACGGTTTTACTCACGCAATAGCTCAAGAAGTATTCATTCAATCCAATTGAAATTTTCTACAGCATTACATACCACGGAGGTCCATACCCTAAATCAATTTCAGATTTAACCATTGAACTCTTGCCACTCTCCGCATCGCACGGATGCAGGGAAAATTCACACTTTTGCCAATATTTGCTACTTCAGTTCTCCTCACTACATGACACCATCCGTCTGAAACTTACTCCTAAAACACGTCTTGGCAACACATTGCCATATTCATAGTTTCGACGTATTTGATGAAAATTTAACGGATACTAACTACGACGAAGGGTGTGGGTGCCGCGAAAGGCTGAAAACAACGTCTACACACATACATAACATCTCAAGTGGGGGTGCCGCGAAAGGCTAAAAAAAAAGAATTGAAACTTGAAACTTGAAGCATGAAAGTTGAAACTTGGAATGTACTGGGCTCAGAGTACCCACATACTAAGAAAACCACACCAGAGTACCTATTAAGGGTACTTAGAAAATTCTCAGTAGCCAGACTGTTGTAGGTACTGCATTGGGTACCCATAGCAGTATGTTTCGCTGAAGCAGCACTTGTATGAGTACCCGCGCCTGTAATTTTGCTGAGGCAAGCTCTACAGGGTACCCTAGATTTATCGCGTTCTGTGTGGCGTCTGTTCATTCACCGTTTTCTTTTGCGCGAACAGCTCCTTATAAACAACTCGGTGAACCATGAGAAAATAAACTTTTTTCATATTTTTTTTCTAGATTATGTTTTGACTATTTATTAGTGGAGAACGCGCCGATCTTAATCGTAAATTAAGATCGGACTACCCTGAAGTGGTCGGATGGAGATTCGACCAACTCAAGCCCGGTCAGATCCCGAAATTTGACCTGCTAGAGTGTTTCCAGGATTGGAAAAATTAAATTAAATAATATCAAAAAATATTTAATAAATTGTTTTGAGAGAAAAAAAATGAAAAAACTCGAAGATTAGGTTCGACCATCAACGTACTGCAATTTTGGTAACAGGGTACCTAAGCATATTGTGTAATAGTATCCGGTTGAGTACTTGATCAGTACCTTCAAGTACTCATTTACTAGTTGTTTTCCAGCAGGGTACCTACCTGAGTACCTAAAAGGTACCTAAAAGTACTTTCAAGTACTCCAGTACCATAAAGTTCCTAAGACATACCAGTAGCAGGGTACTTTTTCGGGTAACCTTTGTTCAGTACATGCCCTAGGGAAACTTGAAAGCTGAAGCTTCAGTTGAATTCAACTTTCAAGTTCGACACTACTGCAATGACCATACCCACACAGAAACCGCACTAGACAGTTACGCCCTCTTCCTGATGACATGCAACTCTAAATTCATGAATCAATCGAATTATAAAATTTATGTTTAGGATAAATTTTAAACTTTTGCTTTTTTCCTTCATTTATATGACAGCCTCAAATTCGAATTATAAAATTTATATTTAGGATAAATTTAAAACTTTTGCTTTTGCTTGTGCGCAATAGTATTTTCGGAAATTTTCATTTATATTCGAACTCGAATTAGGCAGCTACTCTCCCATGTCGTATAATATCAAGCACTCTGCAAGTGTGTATTGACAGAAATATTTTGTGAAATAATTTAAGATATTGTTTGTATAATAACTTTTGTTTAGAACATTTTTTTAGACTGATGATAAAAAATATACGATATGAAATACTTTCAAAAGTAATTATACACACTAAATAAAAATGCATCGGCTGTATGTGCCATACATTTTTGTGTTATGCTCTCTATTACAAAAATGTATCGTAAATTTTTGTGTCGTGCTTTTAATTAAAGAAATGTGTCGTATATTTTTCGCGCTCTGTCAGTCGACTAGTCGTTCACCGTTTTGTTATGAACATACAGCGACATATACGCAACATCATTGAACGCATGGAAGATAAGTTCTCGAAATAAAATTTTCTTTGAAATCAATTCTTGATTACTTTATAATCAAGAAATTGCCATCCCGATCCATGATCCCGCAAGGACTACACTGGATAGTATGATAGGAATAGGACCAATTCCAAATCAGCCAGATCTTAGGATCTGATCATATTGAATTTTCTAAAAATAAAGAGATATATGTAATTAAATTTAAAAGAATATCGAAATATGCGTTTCAAAAACAACCAATGAAAATGTGTAGGATGTTCTGTGAAAAATGCGTCGTGGTCTTGCTGGGCAGAATGTGTCGCAACGAGCGCCTCATATCGTACTCAAATGTGTCGTGTGTTGTGTCGTAGTTTACGACAGATCCGACACATTTTTACTTAGAGTTTCAGTAAAACAGAAAATGTAAAGAAAGTTGAGAGATAAATTCATATGAATACGTCTAGATGGTATATCGTTTTGAAGCAAGAGATATATTCAAAGACCCGTTTTATTACCCCTGATATGCACACATTACTTTATTTTCATTTATAGTAATAACTATTTTTGTTTCGTCAAGGAAACACTCATGAGTAAACTCTCAAGCACAAGATCCAAAACATCATTGGAAAAGAAAAGTTCGAAATCTTCGAAAGCATCAATAAAAATATGTATTGAGTGACTTGATTCTATACATACTATCATTGTATACGCTCATCGTATACAGTCATCGTTATTCATCATATTATTTTGGATACAGTCGTGTACGATCGTGGGTAGTTAACATGGGTACTTAGAGAAAAACACTTGTATGATTATTTTTTTGGCAGCCGTCACAGCAGTGTTCGTATTGAAATTACTTCCGAGTAATAGCATAGTTTCATGACTTTGAAAAATAGTTATAAAAACATGACAACACGTATTGAGTTACGAACGAAAAAATTAATTTACTTATTAATTGGCGAGAAAATGAAGATTGAATCAAGAAGCACTGTCAATATGAATTTAATTCTTCATGTCCTTCATGGATCACTAAGTTTGTACGTCTCTATGTCATATTTGTTGCCAGCTACAGCATCTATTTAAAGACGTGAGATGCGAAACTATTTCGCTGTAGTTGTTTAGCTTTTAAAGATAGACCTTATCTGCCAACCATGGTCACGAGTCTAGTTGCCTGGTATGTCCAGAAGTTTGTTTGGGAACAACATCGAAATAATTCACGTTCCGTGAGACCATGAATTTCCCAAGTTATTCATCAATAGATAAAAGTGCCGTGTAATAAGTACCCATCATTGGACATGTGCTCAAACTAGCGACAGCCTCAGAGTCAAATAATCATGATACCTAACTAGTCACTCTGGTAAGTGAGTCTTTTTCTTGGAAGCATTTACTCAATTCAACTGGCCTAACCAGTTCCATTTCTCATGCACTAATACAGTTGTTGCAATCAATTTTTTAGATTGATCAACCCTCTGTTCGATCATTACACTGTTATACATCAGCAACAATATGACATGTTCAATTCTGTGCATCCTGACCAAGAATTTAATAAATTCAAATCGTAAAACATAACATAAAGAGAATCACAATGTTCAAGTTGAATGTTCTGCTACTTTTATATTTTACTGAGACAGTGGATACAATAGCAATTCGTGCTTATTTAGAGACTAATTCGATGCTGTGGGTGGCAAGGGGGAAAAGTGTACTTTTATAGCTTACGCAATTTCGTAAAATTTTTACCGGTAAACTTTTCTTAGCTAGTATTTCAGCTGTCCTTTTTCGAATTTTGTTCAATTAAGTTTTCGTTTATTTCAAACTTGAAAATGGTTGACTAGTTTTTAATGAAAATATGCAAGCAATCTATTGTGTCATCTATATTATGAACAATGATGATATCAACAGGGATCAAATTAAACTAAGAATTCGGGTAATGATTCAACTCATCATCAACTGCAATATGTAAAACAAATAAGCAAATTTCCAAATATTACTCAATCAATAATGCTGACATCTCTCATAATCTCTCTGGTTAAATCTTTGAAGTGTCAGTTCAGAGACCAAACTCAGAGCTAGAAACACCACACCATATCACATAATATTCCTCATGAAACAGAAGTTATTTAGTAACGTCAATTATGCGTGGCTTTTCGTTTCAGATAAAGACAAAACAGATCCAACTCTCTTCTTGAAACATAAAAACGCCGTGGTCAATTTAGTGTAGCAGGTAATTAAGGATTATTCGTTTAGCGACCAAGTTACACAACATGATGCAACAGAAGAATACTGAAGCAATCGCTGTTCAGCAGATGGACGAATCAGAGTTGACTGCAACAGATAGATCAGTAACCATTGACAAAGCAAGTCGTTTAAGGTATGTTTTTTTTATTGACCCTCGCATATAACTGATTGACGTTACTGTTTTAGTTCGCCAATAGCTCCAATTGTTGGTTTTTGCTGTCTAGGTTTTGTCTTACTTTTGATTGTTTCAATTATTGTATTGTCGCTATTGCCGGTTTACCTAACTTCACGCGATGTTACTGTTGCGACAAAGTCAGAAACTTACACTTTTGATTTGGCGCTAAGTAATGGAGCAACACTTAGTGTTGGTGAAAGTAATGCTGAGCAAAGGGCAGTTTTACAGACTGTGGTAAGCATCATTTACTATTCTTTATAATCATCAAAATCTTTTACTATATAGTTACAAAATCAATTGAATAGTGATTCCACAACTAAAAGCAGCAAAATTACTGTCGTCAGTGCTACTGGGATTGCCAGTGCTAAACGAGTAACTAAACATGTTTGATATAGCTTACAATGTATTGAATGATGATTGAAGCGAGTACATCCTATTTATCTCATGACGTTTAGTGAATAATTATTCAATTCTTTAAGCTTTAAATTTCGTACGAGAGGAGGGTGATAAAAAGAAATTAACTTAGAGTTTCCTCTTACAAAATCAAGGAAGTATCACTTGAAAATGTTACAATATAAATAGAGCAAGTACTTTTCTTGTTCCGAAATGGACATTACGCAATTAGTCCTATTTTTTGACTATCTTTCTGTCACCATATAGAGATGAACGAGAGTATTGACGTGAAAAACAGAATAATATTCTTCGTCCATTAAGAGCTTTAAGGTAGGGGTGGGCCATTAACATTAATTTTATATTAATGTTAATGTTTCTCATTAACCATTAATATTAATGCTTAATGTTTTCTAAGAAAAACTTAATTCATTAATATTAATGTCAATGTTCTTAAATGATATTAACGGTTAACGGAAACATTCACCATTAGTATGAATAGTAATGTTTTCGTTAATATTAGGGATTATACTTTCATTAATCATTAATATTAATGTTAATGTTTTCATTAAAATCAATGACTTAATATTAATGGTTAATGTTTTCATGAAA